AATAACTGGCATAGCTGGGCTGCGAGCTTGGTGCCTAGAATTTCAATTCAAGCCATTCAAGTAAAAAGTTTGCAGAACACTGAGTATTAATAATAACCCAGGAGGATAACAATACTTTTGTGCTGACCAGGCAATTAAATGTGTTATGTAACATAAATTGTGTGTTCTTAACAATCCTCTTCACAAAAAGACAGCCATAGGTGGAATTCCACAAATCACTTTGTTAATTTATTCTGTAGTATTGTGAAGCCATGCGATTGTTGAAGCCATTGTTTGAATTTTGTTTATCATCAATAATCGTTTTGTTGTTGTCCATGACCTGTTGGCTGATCCCACTTTAATTCAATAACTTGCCCTTCAGCTTGGGGTCTACTGTCTGTAACAGAGTCCTTGTTTGTTATTTCAAGACACTCTCTATTGATTATGTTATCATTATTAATGACAATAGGCTCAGCTCTTGGGTGTTGGTTATCACAATAATAAAAAAGGTAAGAAATGTTGTTGCACATTATGATATTTGACCAGCTCTGTGAAAATCCTCCGTTTGTCGCAATTTCTAATTTCCAGCAAACACCCAAAACGTTCGAGATTCAGAATTTTCATGTTTTTTTGCATTAATGCAGATATTGAATATAACATTTCTTCAGAATATCAAATCACTGAATTTAACTGAAAAGTATATTATTTTAAAAATTATTTTTAAAATACAAATCTTAACAATAAACTTTTGATTTTGGAATCTTTGGAAGCTGTTTTATCAAAACCTACATGACTGATCTATTAGAACATTTATTCTGGTTTGTAGTATTAGTAAGTTTAAAAATTCTTAAATTGATTATTCAGTTCAATTTACAGTAGTCAATATTTAATTGGCAGCAAATAGCTGAAGTGCATTAATAAAAATTCTATATTAAAATGACCCAACAATAAAATAACAATACAATTAAATACACCCAAAATACAATCCAATTTTTAAAAAGAATTTCAGATTACTGGCAAGTTCTAATATTATCACTCCAAATACAGTATATACAAATACTGATATAAAGAAGAACCAGAATTTTTCCAAAAGTGATGTGTGTACAAGGGTAATGTTTTTACTGGTCTGCAGAGTATACAGTAGTTTTGATATTAAAAGTAATTTAAACTAATAATTTACTTAAGTGCATATTATTATTAAGCAAAGCTATATTGATTTTATTTTTCAATGATTACATAGCCTTTAAGATAGATCATACTGAAGAGCAAAGTTAATGCATTCCTCAAATTCAATACATCAATAACTACAGCTTATCTTCAGGGCCAAATTTATAAGAATCAATAAGCAACGAATATACTGGATATACAGTAGTGTAGTCTAACAATATTATTGATATTAATTATCTATTGTGATATTGATTTACAGGTTGTAGAATATTTATTCAGTAAAATATTTATTATTCCTTATAAATTCTAATATTCCTAGCATGTTCCTAGATCTTCAATTAAAACTACCGTATGTTGAAATTTAATATAATAAATAATAGTAGTATATTATAATTTAAAAGCTATCAATTTTTTATTAACAATTTTTTATTTTCTTGACCCTTAAAGTGTATAGACAGTATCATTAATCAAGGTATTGAGCTTGTGTTTAAGTCTTTTCCCGACTATGAACATTATGTGGACAAAACACGTGACATGCCTATATATATACTGTAATCATGATGACATCACGTCATGACCATATATAGAACATTATGACTACTTTTTTCATATAAAATTTGATAGCTTGGATAAAGCTTTAGAACAGAATTTGAGTTCCCTAATGAACTGTATGTGGATTGAATGCATGTTCCGCATAAGTAAATGTAGCAAACAGGTTTGAATTGCAAACAGGTTTGAAAAAAAGTGCGTGACCGGTGGTCGGAGACATCATGAATGTCCCGTAGGCATTTTCAGGAGAAAAAACAAAAATAAAAAATAAAATCTGTTTCGGCTCTTCATAGGGTACAGATAAAATTTGGTGCTGGAGGCATTTGATAAAGATAATTTGTGATCAGTGGCATAAACATTTTTTTTTTCCAGGCCTGGTTGCTGTTATTGCTGTCATTCTTGACAATGTTCCAATAAAGAACGAAACGTAGAATCAACTATGGCCTCACGTCTGTCATTTTTCGGAGTCGCCATACTCATATTCTGGTTGCTGTTAGCTAAGATGAAGAATATGGAATGAATGAATTTAAACTGTTGATAAATAAATGAATAAAAATAAAATGAATAATTACATGTTATTTGTATAATTGCATGTTCCACATTAAAGTAAATGTTGCTATGATAAAAATTATCAAATAAATAAATTGTTTATTTGTGGATGAGTAAATAAATAAAAATAAAATGAATATTAATAGTTACAACCACTGTACATCAAAACAATGAAAGATAACATCTCCGTAACTGCTTTCTAACAATTTTGTCTGAGCCAAGAATGTTAAGTACTACAGTATTAGCTATCCATTCAGCCATAATGAATTGAATTCTTCTGTGAATAACTCTGAATGTTGGACGTGTGATTATATATATCTCTTGTACAGTATGCGAGTCTTATTCAGATCCAAGCGGTTTATCTCTTAATGTTTTCTAAGCCCATTAGAATGTACTGCTTAGTTCGTCAGTCATCCATTAAATTAATATGAATTCTTTTTTGAGTGTTCTTTTATAAAATGTTTCTGGATGGATTATTTAAATGGATTCATGCACAAATCTTTCAATAGCGCATAGAAAGCTGCTATACTAATTGCATCATTTTTTGTGTATTTTTCTGGGTGTTGTGATGTTACTTGCTGTACAGGGTCCAGCGTGGTAATACAATAAGTCTGTATTTCTACTGTGCCGCCGAGTCCTATCATCAAACAGTATCAGATACATAGGCTTTTCTGTGGGAGTATTTTAGTGCAAGAATGTTACCTAAAGATCAGTTTAAACTTTATGCATCAATTTATGCACAGAAAAAAAAAATTAAATTTTCAAGGTGGCAGTAAAAGGAAGCTGCGGGAGGACAAGAAACTATTTAATGTTTTATAAAATACCTGTATTTTTTGTTTGTTGTAGGCTCTACAGGTATGCCACGTATTCCTGTAGGTTCTTATGAACATAAACTTATTTATATTTTTTATTGAGGTGCAGTACCAAGTGAGTCTTAAACTACTGTAGCCAAACGAGACACAACAATCCGCTAGAGTTCACTCTGTCTGCTGAGGCCAGAAAATACAAATTAACAATCTACAATCTGCATCTTACTTCCAATTAGCCCAAAACCTGATGAGGACTGTGATACATTTACATTGTCAATATGTGAAAATATGAAGTAAATCGTTCTAGTATTTTTTGAGTTATGTTCCCGGAAGGACCCACACACAGATTTGTGCTATTGCAATACCCTTCAACTCTCCTCACCGGGGACAAGAAATTAATTAATGTTTTATATACGCTAGCCTTTAACTTTTGGCAAGTCTAATGAGATGATATATTCTTATCGTGCACGGAGAGACAGTTTATCTTTGGTCATTAATATTGACTAATGCTACTGAACACAATCTCTTCAATCCTCTCCTAATTGATATCAATATTTTCAGGATGTTTTTGCAGCGATGCATTTCAAGTGAACATGTTCTTGTGTGCTTTAAATTACTGAGATCTCTAAAAATTATAATACCACCTGTAAATACATCTAAAGTACAATGTAATAAATAAAACAATACATCTAAAGTGCAGTGTAATAAATAAAAATTAATATTAAAATACAGTAAAGTAAAAACATAATGTTTCTGTGATAGTGTATTGCACTGACGACCATAATTGAAAAATGGAGGAATTAGTTTTCTAATTTAATTTTCTAATTTCGCCATAATTGAAACATTCATTAAGCTGTGAATTTCCTAAACGGCAGATTTAAGGGGGACCCAGCCAGCTAAAAAAATATTTGTAAAAAGGGAGAAAAAATATTTAAATTTAAGTCCGAGAGTGCTGTTTCCGACCTTCTAGAGGTGCCATAATCATAAATTTTCTTACTTGTCCTTAGCATCAACTATGGTGGGGAAGAAGTGGTCTAGACCCTACTTCTGTGAAAGCCCCTCCCAAAACCCCCTCTATTTCAAATACTAATTGTGTTTCGGAGATACCTTGTTTTTACAAAGTGTGCTGCTTTTGTAAGTACTGTATAAGTCAAAAGAACTTATTGTTATTTTTATTATCAACTAATGATTGGTGTTGATATAAGGCATAAATAAATGAAATCAATAAATGACCATAAAGCATACACTTCTCTTTATGGTATTGCGGTACTGTCACGGAGGCATACCTGCTTGGCACTGTACGTCAAAAATTGATCAATCATCAGACTCTTTCACTCACTGCTATGTAAAGCCCTCTTCCGGCATCTTCCATCTTTTTGGGTCCTCGCAGGACCTCGCTGCTCTTCTTGTACTTGTTACCAAAACTTTAAAAGCGTCCAGCGTTGCCAGTTTTGACCGGACGTGCAAGAAATTTTGTATACATAATGTAGAAGTGATTTCCAACCAACGTTCATCGCCCTTTTGTTTAAGTTAGACACCAGGTTCCCTCTACACATACAAAACAAAACAGGGGTTTCAGCAAGGACTGTTCGTTACTGCCATTACCACTAGTAGGGCACGTCATGTGGATGGCGTGGTCGGTTAAGGATCTGTTCTAAAGAACCAAAGTTTGTGAGTTCGAATCCTGTCTTGGTATTCATTTTCTTTTTTTCAATTTGAAGACATTATATTTATTTTTTTTTCAATTTTAAGACATTTTGATTTTGTACAAATGAACATTTTAAATACTAATTTTTTTTTTTAAACCTAATTAGCTGTAACCGTATTTAAGTGTGGAGAAACGCGCTGACTGGTAATCGGTCGCTTTTGTTTTGTCCATTGCCTCTCTTGCCCTGTTACTACGTACTACACTGTTAACTAATGACTTTCTTTGTATTCTTTTTGTAGACTGGTGTCTCATCCACAGTGCCCTAGATGATATAAAGCGTTTGATGCTCAGAACACCTGTTTTTGGTTACGCAGCTGAAAGGCATGCCAGTTGGTAGATATCTTAGGAGCCTGCAGTAGGTAGCTACAGTATCTCCGAAGACAGTCAGGTGAGTCATTATAAGTACAGTATTTTATTTGTTTTTTCATTTGAATCATTGTTTATGAAGAAATAAGTGTGATATTCTTCCAACATTACTCTGTACCAGGGTCCCAAGTTGTAAGAAGTCAGTTCCAGTTCGATCTGTTTAAATCAGCTCTCATAACAAATCTAATTTTTATTTTGCTGTGCATGGTAATACTGATTTCCAAGAGACAAATATTATTATTATTATTATTATTATTATTATTATTATTATTATTATTATTATTATTATTATTATTATTATTATTATTAATATTATTATTATTGTTATTGTTATTATTATTTGTATTTTTTTTTGTACTCTTTTTTGTAAAGCGCATGGAGTCCACATTGCTTAAATGCTGTGCTGGAAATCAGCGCAAGAGCAGGTAACCCCACCATGTACCCATTCATTGTTCTCCCAATTGAAAAATTTTTACTGGTAAATTTGTCATAAAAATTCAGCAATGCGCGTAGTGTGAGGTGTTATCCCTTTTGAGTTTGGTTTAAAGTCTTGAAGAAACAACAACACATTCATAGCCTAGGCATAGACTGGAATGATGTTAATTTATTAAAATATGGCCAGCCTAGACTACTGTACCTAGATTTAATCAGTAGTTTTTTTATTTGACAAAGTCAAAATTTTTACTGGAAAAATTTGTCGCTCACATCACGAACTACCACAATTAAATTCAATTGTGTTAGTTTGTGAAATAAAAAAAGCGCGTCAAAATACGCGCTGTTGTTGTTAAGGACTTTTTGTGTGGTAAAGAATACAAAATTGTTTGACAACCAATACGCGCTCGTTTTGACGCGCTACTGTAATTTCACGAACTAACACAACCTACTTTGATTGTGATAGTTCGTGATGTGAGCGACGAATTGAGGGCTAAAACGGCTTCAAGAGAACACTGTCATTTATGCTCCTGGGTAGAGAAAAGCAATGCAGATAAAGTGTCTTGCTGTAGGACACAAGCGAAATGTATAGTTAGGGATTGAAACCCCAACCTCGAGGTTGGGAGACCAACATGTTTTTCCTGCTTTGCCAAACCGCTTCATGTAATTGACATTGCAGTTAATATTACTTTATACTAAAAACATCATAAATTTGCTTAAGATGGGTTATTTTTCTGGAGGTTCCTGCTTCCTCGCTAGAGTGCGGGAGGCTTTCCCAAATTTCGATAGACTCTCATAACTTGTAGGAGGCTTGTGTTCCTGCCCTTTCTTTGAATAATAGAATACTCCGCTAGACATTACTTTAACCAATTGATCAAGAAATCACTCTGGCACTGGGTATTACTCCTCATTTGTTTACTTGTGTGTGAACAGAGCTGAAATGGCTTCTTCATGCACTAATTTTACAATAGTACATGGAAAACTGGTATACTAATTGCTTATATTCCTGATAAATTGTAGTCTCTCCCTCCGGCTGAAACACGTGGAGAGCAGCAATAGTAATTTAACCGGGGATCAAGATACCTATGGTTCAGCGCACACAGAGTGGCAAATGCCAGTTTAAGCTGAGTTACACTTCTCTTGTATGTAATTGCATGTCTAAATAGCTTTGTCATAATTTCCATTGTTTTACAGAGTACAGTAGCTGAGGATTGCCAATGAACTGCCCTCTACTATGTTATTCTAAGCTGATACGATGGTTTATCCTTTACACACCAGGTGAGATAAACATCTATTATCTTAACTATCCTATTTTCTTAAGCACTTAATATACAACTACAAGCACTTGTGTACACACATACTCATGATTGGAAACTAGAGATGGACATCCTTATATCTACAGATATTAACCTCTAAATTTACTACACTGACAGATAGTCAAGTACAGTAGATACTCTCTACTATACACACGAGAGGTGTGTTCAGTTTTGTGTTGACAACTTGTAGTAGTTGTCGATGTGTTTGTTAAGGGAGCTAATGAAGTAGTCTTTTTGATATGAGGAATGGCTACTTACTATAAATCAAGGCAACTTCTACTCTGAGATGAAGAATACAGGTAGTAACATTGTACTTGGAGCTGTGACATTGTGGTTAAGGCATTCCTCTCCTACACCAAATGTTCTGGTTCGAATCCTAAACAAAAATGTCTTGATTTTTCTCACAGTTAATGAAAACAACTACAATTCTTTGTTTCTGGTACAGCTTTGAGGTTCCCGATTTTTTTTTTTTGGCCTCTGTAAATAGTCTGAAATCTGAAAGTAGATAAAATGTAGTGTTTAGATGTGAGATACCATAAATAGAGATAACCAATATTATTATTGAAATGGGAAAAACAAATCTGACAAAATAAAAAAAAAAAAAAAAAAAAAAAAAAAAAAAAAAAAAAAAAAAAAAAAACAGTAAATATTTTATAATCCATAACTTGCATTTTCCTATATTAATGAGTAAATACTGTACAAGTACTAAATTTTATAGGTTTCAATTTAAAGTTACTACACGTTTTTGTGGTATCCAAAATGAAGCCTCATCTTCACTGTAATTGTCAAAAAGCTGGGCCAAGAATCATGTCTTTTAACGAAAATAAATTAGGTCAAAAAACCAAAATTGTCAACATTTTCTTTTTCAGAATAAGGAATAACAATAACAACAATAAATCAATAAAAGGGCAAAAAAAGAGAGCAAAGCTTGAAAAACAGACTATTATTCCCTTCGATCGATGTTTATTTGTCCTACACTAACTGTATTTTTAGCTTCAAAGAATTTTCTGCCGATAATGTGACTAAGTTTACTGGTACTAATGACTTAACAATTGAGGTTTACAATGGGTAAATCTTTCAGTTAGCTAACAGTAATGCCGGTTGTTGTGGTCTACCTTTGACACTATATGTCTCTACCAGCACTTGTCAGCATTCTCAACTTAAATCTTTATTCCTAAGACATTGTCACTTTCTCTTGTTTGGCGTGTTAGTGTTAATACCTTTGCTACACAATTACATATAAAGGTAATGTTGAATATTTTTTTTGAAATTAGTAAATTTCTCCACTCATTGTCATCAGTGTTAATGTCTAGTGCGAGCAAAGGTATGTGCTGCTGTGGCAGTCAAAACCAGCAAACTTTGAGGTAGATTTGATGCCTGGAATGCTACCATATCAAAATCATACATGTTTTCAAAGATATCTAGTTTAGTATTGGAGAATAATATTCAGGCTTAGGGAATGTAGAGAATAATTCTTGGTAAGGATAACACACCTGCCTGATGCATATGAGAACATTTGGCCTCTCATACTTTTTTTCCGCGTGTGCACATGATTATGTTTTCTGCCTCTCAAGAAAATGAGCGCAATTCTAAATAGTCTTATTTTTTTGTATCGTGAAGCAGAAAACACACCCTATGCGTATATGCCATGAGCAAACGGCTTTTTGCCAGTTGACATAACAAATGGAATACCCAATCATAAAACGCTCGTAGCTAGTATGTGACAATGAACATAAACATAGGTAAACATTTTTCTTGTAAGCGGGAAATCGTGCCATCGAGCAAACTGTCATGCAAAAAACGCTTGCTGGGCACATGGATCTCGTGAGCACCAGGTTTAATTTTGCAGTAGGTTGAACCTAGAACCGAAGCAAGCATGGCTGTCTGATCATTTTTGATCAATGCCAACAAGGTCAAGGGTTGAAAACCGGGATTACCACCCTAAAAACACCGAGAGAAAATGCAGTTAGGCCATTTTAATCTGCTCTGTGACATTTTAGAACCTTTTTATTCCCAGGGAATTTAAATATCAAATATCTTTTGGTCCAACGAGTCATGGCTGTGGATTTTAACTGCCACCACTGTACAATGATTTAAAAATATGAACTTCCATTGTCACGTTTCCCGAAATATTATTGAAGAAACTTAGCTGGAATGAAAGGAATGAAAGTTCTGAAGTACTCAGTAGTGCTGTAGGTTTGTGTGACAAAAAGTGAAATCTCATTGAAACTCTCGTTGACTCCATCTAGTGTCAATAATTACATAGAAGTTGAAAGTTAGATGTTTAGATATTAGTGGTTTATGTTTGTGTGTGTAAACTGTATATGGGTACTGTACTGTACTGTAGTTACTGATCTAGTTCCATTGCTAAAGAGTCTCTAACCAAAGTTTACATTCTTTATCAGATAAATCAAGATCTCACTTTCTGTACAGTATTGTATTATGTGCTTTACTTGTACTATTTGGATACAAAACAATAAAATATTGATTGTTAATATTATCATTTTTTTTAAATTTTAATAATTTTATTAATTTCGTCCAACAATAGTAAAACAAATTTAATTCACTTTAGAATTGTTGTTGTTTTTTACTTGTTTTTCAATTTCCAAAGGAAGCAGAAAACAAAAATCTACCACTCAGGAAGGATGTTACAATGCAACTGTACTCTCTCAGCCTTGGTCAGTTAGGTCAAATGTCATGTTATTCAACAATTTAAATTATTCCATGATATAATAATATTTATACTGGTAGTCATAAATGTACTGTTAAAGAATAAAAATTATTTGATTGACATGTTTTTTGGCAGTTACTGCAGTTCTGATTCTACCTATACAGTACTGACATTTATTAGTGTACATTCATTGGATCCAATTCAAAGCAAAAGCATTCATTTCTAAAGATGCAATTTTACATATTTTCCAATTACAGGTTAATAGTTAAAAGTAATTATGGCAATATGAACCGGTGTTGTTAATATTTACTAGGTCGTTACTGAGTCTTCAGCATATTATAATTGAGATTGTCTTGATTGTTGACTTACCTTTACCTGTAGGGTGAATGACCACTACTAGTTTTTAATGAGAAGCAACAAAAAAAATAAACATTTTGGTACAGTATGAACAGGAATGCATTCATTACAAAAATGCTGACTGTTTTGTGTGGGCTTTTCCTGGTTGGTTTGTGTTTTTATTGTAGTTTAAGTATTTTGTTGTATGTTTTAGTTTAGATTGTTTTTCTGCCATTAAAATTTATGATACTATTATAGAAATATAATAATAATAATAATAATAAAATTCTAATAATGATTTTGTTACCAGGTGACACTTAGAATGTTAACTCTTCAGATAATAATTAAAGAATGTGAATAAATAATTTTTTCTCCCCCTAAAAATATATACCCTGATAATTTTGTTGATACAGTACATCCAGGGAGTTGTTATTTAGAAGGAGTCACAACACATTTATCTACTTATCTACAGCCAATGAGCGAGGCGCGGTGTACTGAATCTTCAAAGAGAACCGTGACTAAATGCCTGTCTTTTGACAATAGGGTACTTTTCCGACGATCTTGCGCCCTTAGTTGTTAAAATTTTGTCTTTGTAGAGAAAATAATTTTGTGACAAACGACCAGTAGAGCATGCGCAGAGTTTTTTTTATTCAATTTTCGCTGTTCAATAAATTTGCATCTCAAGAGAGTTTTACGAAGAATAATTTACAAAAAAACGCATAAAAATTCGCCTTTTCCTTAAAAAGTTACGACTATTTGAAGTGGAGCTATATGTGTTTGTTCGTACACCGTTATTTGTAATTTTCATGGGTTTTTGATAAGTTTTAAAGCTTATATTTTATATTTTCCGCACGTATCTCCATTTAATAACTAGGACAAATAGTTTATGCAACTTGTTAACTATCATTTTCTTTATGTCTCATTTTCTTACAGTTTCGTACAGAAACGTAATTTGAGTTCAGACTGAACATGTTTTCGTAGCAGGGAAATGATATAGGGGCATATTTGTTGTATCGGTTTGACGCTAGCGTGGAGTTGATAACTGACACTCTCTCTAGTTGCCATGCTTTTTCGTCACACACAAGCATGAGAAGGTTTACTGCGCATGCTCATATTCGGTAATTGAACCTCGTCGTTATCTACCTCTCTGCTTTCGTTATCTTGTCGGAAAAGTAGACTGATCAAAAGAGAGGATTTTGTTGTGACTCCTTCTAATAACAACTCCCTGGTACATCCATTAAGAAGGATAACAATTGATGGAGGGCAGATTTCAGGAGAGGTCACCCTCCCATCATATGCTGTCCTAATCACTTCATTTCACTTCATTTAAAAAAAAATTAATATACATAAAAATACATAAATAATTTAAATAAAATTAATTAATTCAAATAATAATGCAGAAAAAGGCTACATCTACACTCTGCACGTGGAAAACGGCGCCACGAGCAGCTCTACCAAGCGATGGATACATGCGCCTAATAAAATGACATTATTATTATTGTTATTAATATTATTATTATTATTATTATTATTTCTGCTATTTAAAGGGGGTATATTTATTTGACCAATTTGTATTTGAAATTGAAAGATTATTCTTAATTTTTATTTTGGTCAGGAGGGTTCAGCTTTGTATAAATTTTATTCAAATAATGCTGGCAAACACTGAAATAATAAATCAACAGAAACCACAGAATAATTAATGTAATTTCTTTTTTACAGTAGTTCTGTTTATTGACGTCATGGAGATGTAATAAACATATTTTCTATGAAGAATACACTACATTGTATAGAATTTCAATCTTTGTTCTAGCGTGCTTAGAATCGATCACACCGAACATATATTAAATAGGTCAACACCAAACCACCAGTGTGGTTTTTAATACAAAAGATCTGATCTGTGCACAGATATAAGAATGGACAGAATTTCCAATCGTTGATTCCTAACAATTATCTTTCCACAAAAGGGATTTCTAGTGGATGAATGATTTCTGTTATGATAGATTTCCTAAGGAATATTGAAGCATTATTTACTTGATTATCTCAGAGAATGTATAATTTTTATGTCTGGTTCTCTGGTTCGGAACATACAGTAGTCGATAATCAGCAATAACTCAAAAGTATATTTATTCCTAAATCAATTCTGGCATCTAGCAGTTTGACAACAAAAACAAGCAATGCTGTGATATTTGATTTGATTGGTGGATTGATACTGTACTGTAATTACCCTGCATCTTCTATTTAGTAAGTTAAATTTTTTTTAAATCATAATTATTAAGATTGTTTACTGTATCTTTTGATTTGACAATATTCACATGATTGTTGCTTAACCTAAAAAAATAAAGTGATCAATGATTTTATTGTAATAAAATATTGTACAGAAGTAAATTTGCAATATATTTGTCATCATCATTATCATCATTATCATCATCATCATTGTCATCATCATCATCATCATCAATCATCATCATCATCTTTGATTGTATTTTAACACAGTGTGTAAGTAATGATGATAATATAATTTTGCACATATATACAGTAGTAGAATCATTCCTAGAACTTATTTCTTTAAGCCTGACTTAAATAATATTTTAATGCTTTGCTTAAGAAGAAAATTATATTCGGATTATGTTGAACTCCAGAATATTTTTCAGATTTCTTCTAATTAAAATATTGATTAACAAATAAATTCTTAAAAATTTGAACTTTTGAACAAAATCAATTTCAGAGAAAAATTAGGATTCTCCCTTCTCACTTTCTTTGATTTGTTTTGATGCCTATAACAATTGGTACTTTACACATTATAGTTTTTGTATTATCGCCTTATTGAATGCTGTAGTGCAGTATTATTTCCCTATTGCATTGGAAGATTGTGTACAAGATGATGTTCTACAGTATTGTTAATGAGTGGACTGGAAAATTAAAGGAAATTGAAAATCGAGCCTCGGTTTTCCTTTCACTATCATATTCAGTCTTGTCAGTGTGAATTGGATCAATTCCTTAAATTGATTCCTTGATAGAAAGTGAGAGAATTTAAAGGAGGTTTTTCGGGGAGAACTGCCCTGGCAAGCAATCTCATTTTGGAAATTGCGTTCTCCAATGAGATTAGAGTGGCAGTCATCATTGATGTCTCCTTAAAAAATCCTGGTGAGATTTAAAGGGGAAGAAATCTCTCCTTGTGACAGAGAGATTTTATTGTTTAAATCGGTACAAATAGTGCTTTTACACTGCAGCTAAGGAT